TCGCAAGCAAGCACCCAAAAGAGCTCTCAAAATGACTAAACCATCTGAGCACTTTTGCTAACCCTCTTTCATCTTACCAAGACGCCTCCAAAAATTTGAACGAAATATTAAGGTTATCTATAAAACGGTGTCAAGAAGAAATTCGTATGAAATCGATTTTCAATAAATTCGCTCTGAATCCAATATCTGAGTGACATCCCGACGTTCTACTGCAACCGAACCGGGCGCTTCTGGTGCCGAATGGTAAGCTTAAAAGATTATTCATCCGGCGTTAACAATAATGAAGAGGAGGGTGGTGCTTCACTGAACACTGTGTGTACTTTTGGAGATGACTATAACGGATGACCTTCGTTCGCTGACCGCACAAATTCAATTGATACAGCTCTCGCCTTCCGTTCGACTCATTTGGGAGGCAGTAGCCATCGGTCCGGTCATCGCGCACAATGCCGCTAGCGCCAATCCATCCACTTGCGAATGCTCCCTGTCATCACCAAGGAATCATGGACGGCACAGCATCCATCTTCACACGGGAGTGCTATACTGACATGAAATAGGATGTGCGAACATATAGGCCTATCCGTAAGGCAAACAGATGGGTTGGGAGGGGAAAATCTGAATAAGCAAAGGGACTTAAATCATGCTGCCAGCATCGCCAACTCAGATTTTCGTGAGACATCGCTGAAATTTGCTGTGAAATTTCGTCAGCTGCTAAACTGGGTGGCGAGACGAAAAAACCCGAAGATGCTAAATTAAAGCAATAAACTGAGAAAGGGAGCGACTAGGAAATAGGGAGGAACGTTAAGATTTGAATGATGCTCCACAAAAATCGAAGATAAGCAATTCTGGACAAAGCGGTCAGATCCCGGATTGCCAAGCGTTTTAATTCGCCTCGATGATATTGAACAGGGATTAATTTTGTCCTTTTGCCGTCTGTCATTTTGCACAGTTTTGAAATCTTTTCCTTTTCTGTCACTAAAATTTTCTTTGGTTGAGTGATTTCCTAGAAAAAACTATAACCACCAGTTCTGGAAAAAGTGAATGGCTTCT